CAAAAAAAAGTGCTATAGCAGAGTAGAGCTGGTCTGATAGGACTGTAATGTTGTTCAAGCAAAGCTACAGCATAATCAGTTTATGTTAATAGTTATCTGTATGCATAATGCATAATCCAGGTGCAATAGTTTACAGAATTTTGTTTGATAAATTTCTTCTATAACAGAAAATCTCTCAGTTGTTTTATTATCAATACACTCACAATAGTTTATCCATATAATGTTTAAATGTATCATTTAGAGCTAGTGTCATGTATAGAGAATAAATGGATAATCCAGGCCTAATCCAATGCTTTTTCTGTGATCCTCCACTGCTGGTTCAGCTAATGCTAATGTTGACCTTGGTTGATCCTGAAAAAGTATACATGGTCAGAAAATACCAGGCCAATAGGCTAGACATAATAATGTAGTGTCCCTCTACATTCACATACACTGGAAGATCACAGGGGGAAAACATGATAGTGAAGTGTTTCCACAATCATCAGCAAAGTATTTGGAAACAGAATGACTCTCATCTCCTTGAGCCCTAGGCCCCAAACTAACTATGGCTGCTTTACTGACATGTCATACTTTATAAGTGCCGAAACATGTATAGGAAAGAACCCAGTGAGAGGGTGGAATATGAATCACCTGAAATAGCAAATAAATTAAAGTCTCATTTGAGCTAATCTTGACTCCTAATGACTTCATGGAGATGTCTGTGTAATTTTACTGGCAACAGTATGGAAGAGCTTTGCCATTGCCTTCATCTGGGAGATACGTAGGGTGTACCATAAGCCAGGCTCCCTAGGCCAATCACATTTTTTTTTTCCAGAAAAAAAATGTTACTGTCCTTAGGAATATTCAAAGGTCAAGCATCAAATAAGTAAGAAAGTATTTAGAAGAAAATTGTAACCAATGTAAACATTTAATGTAATTTATATAATAAATTGTCTATGGGGCCTGATGTTTGGTATATGTACACTTTCTAGTATAGTGTACCTTCCTGGTAACTTTCCTTCCTAGAATGCACTAAGTTGGACTCTGCTCAGCTTCTGAGACTAGACAAGTTCAGCTAAGACCTTCAGTTGTTATTGTGTTACAGCGAAAATTTTCTCCACAATTTTTGCTTTGGGATGAATCAAGACTTAAAAGAGAACTTTAATGTTCTGGTGTTGAGCCCCAAGCTGCTGCCTAAAGATTACAGGAGTCTAAGCCTTCTCTTTTCTCCCCCCCAACCCCCCCTCCAAAAAAAAAAACCCCTCAAGGAGGAACCATATATGCATTGTGTCATTTTTTTCACAGGTAACAATGTGATAATATTACCCTGTATTCAGTGCAGTCTCGGAACATGAAAATGAATGGGAAGCACTGAATTATTATTTATTAAATGTATATGCCGCCCATCTCCCAGGAACTCTGGGTGCTTTACAAATGATTTAAACATGAAAACATGGCAATCAAAACAACAAGAAACAAAAAAGGGTGTAGATGGCAGAATGACAAACTGGATGGAAAGAAAAGAAAACCACCTGGGTTCAAAGGAGGCTTCAGTCATCCCCACCAAAGGCCTGGGTGAAGAGCCAAGTCTTCAGGCCCCTTCGAAATATCAGCAGGATGAAAGCATCGTTAAACATCCTAAATGTTAACAGCAAACTCATTCTCCGAATGAGTATCCTCACACTGTCAAAATGCACAAGAAGGAGGAAAAAGCAGATTTGGAGAAAACTGAACGTTTGCAGAAGCAGACAAAATCTATAGAGTTGGGATGCCTATTCTCTAGGATGGAAAGATAGAGGAGAGCTAGATGGGTGGTCATTGGACCGGCCATCCCACCCAGTGCCAATTAAACAATAGGAGACTTCTAGATGAAATGTTGTATAAATCAATAATCAATGTAAAGATATTGTGGTCATATGCTATATGATGTGGCAAGCTGCCTTCTGGTCTTCATCACTCTCCCTCGCTGGCTGTGATAGCAGTGGTGATAGTGGCTGCTGCTTTAAACCAAGGACTATCACCCCCAGGCCCCCAGACACAACGCCTTAGATAACAAGCACAGTCAGCACAGAAAGAAAAGAGCTTTGCTGCCTGGCTGGAATCTTAATAAAGAGCACTTTATGCTGCAATTATTTTGCTGTGGTTCCAACTGTATTATATTGATATAATTAATGATGTTTATGACTTACATTCTTTTTATTAGAGAACCCCAGGGCATATGCATATAATCCTCATATCATTTTCAATATAGGCAGCACAGATAAAGCACAGGCATACTTGGCTTCATCAGGATTGTTGTCTCACATCCACGGCAATTACTCTTAGCATGCATATGGATTTCATCTGATCAAAGTAATGGACCAGCTATTTAAAAGCTAGTTCTGCCAGAACACTGTTTTCTGTTTATGGGAATTTATAATGTATGTGCTACTGTAAGTATGGCATTTGTGCAGAACAAAACTGGAGAATGCATTCTTATGAAATCCAGGCAAATTTCTGTTTCTTCCTCAGTAGACGGAATTTGTAAGAGCTGTGTTACAGAGTTCTCGATGTAAGCAGAATCAGCTTACAGTTTAAAAACATAACTAGCTCATGAAACCATATGGAAAATAGCCATTCTAAAGAAAGAATAATCTTGAGAATGTTTCTTCTTGGATTGATTGACATTTGTGGAATTACTAGAAAGGGACAAGATATTAGCATATCACTAAATATTATGGTGGTTGCAGTTCTTTTGTCTTTGAAGCAATTTAGACATTAGGAATTATACAAATACTGTAGTTTAAATATTTCTCTTGCATTATATATTGTTCCTATCCAAATTAAGTATCAGTTTGGGTTACAATTCACTTACAAATTAGATATAAATTACAAGACACTTGCTTAGACATAAAAGCACATTTTCAAGCAATATCCAAACAGACTTTTATACTAATTTTGCACTGAGTGTAGCATGGCATGGTTCTGATAGACATTGCTGTGTTGCAGATATTTGCAGCACTGAATAAAAACTAAAAACTTCAGACAACATCAAGTTGAAGATAAGGTATCAAAATATGTTGTTGTACTGTATAATCGTAGGAAAACCTGATTGTAAAGTAACTGGGAGGCAGGGGCAGAATCTGACTGTGTAAGAAAAGAAATAAGAGATCATGGCAAGTTCTGGCACATCCTCACCAAATAATACACATTTCTTGATAAATCCACCCAAGGACAAGCAGTTACTGGAAGCAGCCTGTTTTCTAGAGCAATGGGGACTAAATTCACCAGTGCAGGGACACTGAACAGAGTGTTATACTTCTCTCAAATAATTTTGCACAACATATTAATTTGTATGAAAAGAAACAACTACAGTAAATTAGTGTTAGCCATCAAAATCTGTATTCCTGCAATACCTTTGTTAAGCAAACTTGCTCAGCATTTGATAACACCTAATCTGGATGTCCACAGATCAACCTCTGCATGACATTCTAAAACTGTAACTTCATACAGCCTCTGCCCTCTTTTTTCAACATATTTTCCCCTTTGTCATTTTGCTCTGAGAATAGCTGTGCAAATCTTGCACGTTTATTTCAGTAGTCTTTTGTAGCAGTAAAAGACAAATCTGCTGGACAAAATTCTGGACCTAGATTTTGTATTTAAGGGGCAAAATTCTTTTGTTGGGTGTCTGGAAAATTCTGTTCCTTCCAGAGCAGACATATGCCCAAGCACATGTCCAAGGAACCCAAATATATCCCCTAGGCGGTTCTCCTGCAGCCACAGGTAGCTGCTGCAACTACCGTCTTCTTCAAACCTGGCAGATCTGAGGTGCATTTCTTGTGAGTCTTAGAAATCCTGACTTTGAGGTGACCTTCCACCCACTTTTTCCCCTTGAAACGGCCAAAATGAAGAGTGGAGTCTTGAGAAATGGAGGGGCTTTGACCTCAGGGAGCCCAGCGTCAGTAGTAATGGTAACCCAGCCTCTCTCTACATTCTTGCAGCCTCTGTGAAGACGGCCGAAAAAACACAGCTCGATTCACGTGGGAGCGGGGCTGCAACAGACATCCTTTTCCTGTGAGCCTGAGCGCCGTCCAACTTCTGGACGGGAGGAGAACAAGGAGGGAGAGGAAAGACAAAGCGTTTTCTCTCCTCCCCCTCTCCGCTTTCTGGCTCGCCTTTCTTAAAACCTAGCTCTGTTTTTTTGCTGAGGTCAGAGCGATAGGAAGCTGACTCATGTTGGAAAACTGTTGTTCTCCTAGCCTGCCCTTTGCAGAAAATCGGTCCAAAGTTTATAGGATAAATTTGTCAGTCTGCAAGTAGCACCCTGCGCCCCGCCTCCGGCTGCATTTGTTCGAGCGATCTGCTTGCATGATGTCACCGGAGAGTAATTCTGGCGGGGATTTTTCTTTTTTTTTAATCACCAGCCAGGAGTTGTGCCTGCAGGTCGCTTTCTATCTGTAATGCGCCCTCCAGCGATCGGGTAAGCAGAAGGTGCCAGCGGAGGCTGATACGAAGCCTGTGGCGTAGGAGGTGCTGCCCTTTTAAAGTCCCTTCCAGGAGGTCTGAAGGAAACGCTGCTGACCGGACCAAACGCGCATTCCCATTACAAAGCTAAACATGGAGACGCAGAATCCTCTTTCTTTCATACTCAGAAAAAGTTTAGCCGAACTCACTACCGGGTATAAAAGCGCAGCTGTATTTTCGTGGAGTGGTTTGCACTGGATGCAAGATGAAGTTAATGTAAGCACGCCACAATATTAGCTCCCTTGGTGCCACAAACTCACTGTTAGGCGCACATAAAAAGGATGCAGGGCGATCTGGTGAACAGCCCTTTTAAAAGCTCCTTACATCTCCGAGAAACCGGCCATGAAATGACCATTTCTTTCTCCCCCTTTTTAATCGCCTCTTCGGTCCTGCCTTCTAACTCTTGTCCCGAAGGGAATGAACCATTCTAGGAGCGGGAGGGGTGGCTTGGTTCTTCTGTTGGAAAACGGAGGTGGGGTACCCTAATGGGCGGGACTGATTGTTGCTTCGGTTAAGCTTGGAGGAGGAGAAGGAGGGGGCTGGATCCTGTCCGGCTAGGAAGGAAAGGCTCTGCTTAGCAAGTGTCGGAAAACGAGTCTCCGGAGTGGCTCGGGAGGGAAGGATGTGCAAAAAGCTGGAGGACGAGGAGGTGAGTGTGGATGGACGCGGGGACCCAGGCAGCTTTTGTCCTGCGCGGGCGAGCGAGGGGAGGGTCTTGGGGGGGGGCACCGCTT